AGTTCACTTGATCAAAAGTTGACACAGTTCTCTCTAAAAGTAGTTCCTTGACTCTTCTCTTGAAAGACTCGAGGGGAGCGAAGATGTCTACACCAAGACGGATCAACGCGTTGACCGATTTCTCAACGCGATGAAAAAAGAACTTCTCAGTCTGTCACTTCTTTGCTGATTGAGTTGTGCAGATGATGGTGGATTTCCGGCGGGTGGTCACCTTAAAAAAGAAAAACGTAGAAAACGGCAATTCTGTAAGGCCTTGTAACGTTTTGTAGAACAGTAACACATAGTTGAAAATAAGATGCTAACAGATAGGCAGAGTTTTTCTGAGAAGTAACTGGTCTTTATAGGGTATTGAACCAATAACCCATTTCAGACACTTTCGATTGAAACTTTCAAGTTTTCGGATCTAAAATAATGGAAGAAACCAAAGAGGGGATGCATAAAAAAGCATACTCTTTATACACATGTTATCAAGCATGAGGTTGGTGGATTTAGAGGCAGTGAAAAGAAAATTGCGCCTGAGGAAATGAAGTGACTTGTTACATGAAAACAGCTTATTTTTGATATGTATCATCCAGTTCAAGCCATCCGAGACAAGTTGAGGCAGTTATGTCCTGGTCGTTGACCATCACATGACGAGGAAAATTGCCTTTGAAAACATTGAGACTGCACTTATTGTGATTGACCGATAAATCATTTGCAAAACAACAGTTTGTATAAGACTCAATATCTTGCTGTAGAGAAGTTATATCAGTAGAAAACAACTTTGAATCATGTAACAACTATGACAATTGTGTAACAAGTTTGACAAAGGCGTCGGTTTTTTTGTAATGAGGAAGGGCACCTACGAGACATCAATAAGGAGTTGTTGGCTAATAAGTGAGAATCTCTACCAAAGGGTGAGGTCCACTGGGGGCAGCCCGCCAGGCTTTATGGGTTGGCGAAATTTGCATAAAGTGAATAACCCATTAAGACCGGTCCTCTCCTTGCCTGGTAGCTCTTATTATAACTTGAACAAGGTTCTTGCAAAGTTTTTCGAGAAAATTGAGGGCGCAAACATCGAAACCAACTCACTAGATTCGAGAGAAATCTTAGAGAGCACTAGTAATGAGCCCAATGAAAATTTGATATCTCTAGATGTGAAGAGTTTGTATACAAATGTTCCACTGAGAGAAGCAGTAGACAAAGCTTTGAGAAAACTGTATTCGCAACGGCCCCAAGATGCTGCCTTGAGGAACGCCACTAGAACAGGACGTGGATTGGAAATGTGCGCATTTATGAAGAAGAAGAAGAAAGAACACTTGAATTACTATACAATAAAAAGCCGAGGCATCAGTGTAGCAAAGTGTAAATAATAAAGTTGGTTATAAATTCATTGGTTACATCAAACAAAAACAAAACATCAGAAAACAAGCAATAAACAAAACAAAAAAAAACAAAATCGGTTACAGTTCGGAAATTGGTTGATTAAAGTATATGAAGTTTCGGATACTATAGAAAATTAAAGATTTAAGAATTAGGAACAAGCTGGTAATAAAACTTTACAAACAATTTTACAGATAGTCCAATTATACAACGTATATACAGAGTATATACAGTTTCTCTTTCAAGCAATGTGTGAAAAATTAAACTGAATTAAAAAATATAGAACTAGCAAAAACGGTAATCACGCCACGTATTTGTATTAGTACATATAGGATTGTTTCTCAATTCACTCACGTAAAATTCTTTCAATTTTTTCTTGAATTCTGTTTTCAATTTTTCTAAATTGCGCAAAATTATGGGCAGTGAATTCCATTTTTTAGAAGTCAAATGAAAAAATGATTTTTGTAGAGAAGCAGTCGAACAATGTTTGTCAAAAATAATTTGTTTCGTTCTTTCGTTGAGCCTATAATTGGCAGTCGGTAGTCTCAGTGTATTTTCAAAAGCCTTCTTTTTGTTTGTAAGATATTGGTATAAGTATGTTATACACTTTAACTCAATTCTTTTCTCGATTCCAATGAACGATTTGCTAATGCGAAGAAGGGAAGAAGATTTAAAATTCGATCTGAAATATGTTCTTTTTAGCGCCCAGTTCAACTGTTTCTCCAGAGATAGCATCAAAGTAGCATTAATTTGTTGTAAAAAAATTGCTGAATAATCTAAATGTGATAAAACAAGACAATGAAGCAAGGCAACTAATGATAATGTCGGCAGTTGTTGTCCAATTGTATCAATAGTTTTAATCCCTTGGGCCATTTTTTGGAGAATTGTTTTGATTTGAGCATGAAAAGATAAACTTGAATCAAGAATTATGCCTAAATATTTGCATTCTGATTTTTTTGCTACATAATGCCCACTAATTACTAGTTTATCAGTATCCACATTTTTGCTATCATTTTTTTGACAAAATGTTATAAATTCCGATTTAGATGCATTCAGATTCAATTGGTTCTCTGCAAAAAATTCCGTTAGATTATTGAGTGATTTTTGCAATCGATTCAAAGCATCCTCAGAAATTATAGAAGAGGAAAAAACCATACAGTCGTCAGCATATTGAACTAAAGTACAACCCTCATATAATCGCTCTTGTATGTCATTAACATAAATATTGAACAACAACGGACCAAGTACCGTTCCTTGTGGGACACCTCGTTTTATTTCAATCCAGTCTGAAAAAATTCCATTGACGTTTACTCTTTGAATACGTTTGTTTAGGAAGCTAGCAATTAAAGCATTTGCTCCATTTGAAAAACCGAGAGAAAGCATTTTTTCAATTAAAACTTCATGCGAAATAGAATCAAAAGCCTTGGACAGATCTAATAAAGCTGCATGTACGATTTTTTTTGAATCTATTTGATTTCGAATACTTTCTGTCACATAAACAAGAGCATCTTGTGTTGAAATGTTTTTGCGAAATCCGAATTGAAATGGTGTCATTATTTGAAATTTGTCAAGATGTTCTGTTATTTGGGCATGTAAAATTTTTTCAAAAATTTTAGAAAAAGCACAAGTTATTGATATTGGCCGATAATTTTTTGCATCCATTGGGTCATCTTTTTTGAACAAAGGGGTTACGTTTGCTTTTTTCAGTTCGATCGGGAAAATGTTCTCATCTAAGCAAGTATTTATGACAAAAGTTAAATGTGGAACTATAACTGATTGACCGTCAATGATTGCCCAAGCAGGTACGGTACAAGGTCCGAGAGGTTTTCCAACATTGATTTTTCGAACTATATCAAAGCATTGCTTCACTGTAATGTGTTGAAAATGAAAAGATGCAGATTCAGAGGCAGATTTGTTGTAATTCGGAGGCTTTTTAGCGCCGAAAAATTCGCCTAAGTTTGAAAAAATATAATTTAAATGATTGGCAATTTTTTTGTCTTGGGTTATCATTTCACTGAAGGAATTTCGTAGAACTGTAATTCGATGGTTGCCAGAACATGTACCTCTAACTTGGTTAATATATTTCCATTTTTGTTGGATAGTGCTGAGAAGTGAAAAACAATTTTTTGAATGATCGAATTGTTTACTTCTAATCAATTTGCTCATTTGATTACGTAAAAACTGGTACTTTGACCAATTATCGCTTGTGCTTTGACTGCGATATGATCTGAGTGAATTCTGTTTCTTAGTCAACAATTGCTGACATTCTGAATCGAACCATTCCGTTTTCAACACGTTTTTTGGTTTAAAATTACGAACAAACTTTTTTTCGATAGGAGCATGTTGCTGTAGAGCACAAGAAATTAAATAAATCATCGTCGAGAACATGTTTTGTGCGTCTGTACATTGATATAAGAGATACCAAGGAAGAGCGGAGAGTGAATTGCAAAATTCATTTTTCTGATAATTTTTCTTATTGAAAGTCGTAATTATCCTCGGTAAAATTTTGCCGCATTTTATATCCGTCAAAATAAATGAAGCAAAATGGTCGGTTTTATAAGGTGTATCAAAACAAAACTCAAAGCCGTTTGTTTCATAGTCACTGATTATGTAGTCGATATGAGTTTTTGTTGAGGAACTAATTCTGGTCTCATCGTTTGGACAAAAAACCTTCAATCCATATGGAATAATTATAGAATCTAAATTTTCTTTTTCTTTGCTATCCAGATAATTTATGTTATAATCACCCAAAAGCGTAATTTTATTAGAAACTGAAAAAGCATTATCTATGTTAAGCGTTAATTGTTCCAAAAAATCAATAAAGTTTGATCTGCTTGGGTTATAACACAAATTAACTAACATTTTTTCTTTACTCGAAATGTTAAATGTAGATTTGCACTCAACCCACACTGACTCATATTTTTCTTTATCAAATAAATTTAGATCAGGCCTCAATTTCGGAGCCAATTTGACTGGTATATATAACAAAACGCCACCGCCTTTCTTTTTTACCGCTGATTGCCTATCATATCTGAACATCGCATGCGTTCTAGGTTGGAAATTCCATAAATTGTCACTATCTTCTTTTTTAAGCCACGTTATACGAACACACTGTGATCGGTTACAGAGATACGACGAAAAAAGTAACAAGAAATCATGATCGAAACGAGAGCAACAAGGCGACTGGCAAGAAGGGCCTCAACGGATGACGGATCCGTATGTGTCTTGCAGAGTTTGCTGGACATCAGGGCAAGAGCTGAGCAAAGATCATTCACCCGCATTCTGCAATAATAAGTGTTGTTATTTAATCATAGCAACTTTAATCATCTCCTTTTTTTAATCGTTAACACTTCCATATCAAGTAAACTTCTAGGATTTTGACTGCAACATATGATGAAGTGACTCCTGTGTAACCTCACTTTTGACCTTCTGATTATTTTATCACTTACATATCTAGAATGTTCCTAAAATTGTGGTTGAAATACGTGATGAAGAGACTCCTGACTGTTACCTTGGTTACTATGGTAGTTATGACCTTCTAATTATGCCTGAAAAAAAAACAGCCATTTTGTATAATAATTAAAGTGTTTTTTTTTTCTGTTTTTTTTCTTCAAATTATCTGGAAAAATTTATCCTTCAGAAAAGATGTCGAATACTGCTAACGGTGACTCTATGTCTGAACAGTCTTCGTCTGCTCTTGTGGTAGAGGACAAAGCTTTCCACGGAGGTCAAGATTGGATGACAACTGAAAATTTAATAGCCGATTTTAGCGTAACAACTGGCATCATGGGACCTTGTGAAGAGGCTCTATCTTTTCTGGATGGCAATCTTCATAAGATTCACCATTATCCAGCCCTAGATCAAGAGCCGTACAGGAGTGAATTGAGATCATGGCTTGGCCTGAAGGTAATAAGGCATCTGAAGGCATAATTACCCGCATTCGAAGGCATCTCATATAATGCACAGTCCGGAGCACATTCACATCCCGCTTACCCTCCCCATACTCTCCCCTACCCGTAGCTCCCTCGTTTTTCAACATTGACTAAAATGGGGAAAAAGTCACCACTGATGACCTTGCTGTGATAAAGTAACCCTTTAAATGATAATAAGTACGCCTTCATACATTAATTGTACACAATATTTACCTAAGGTCAGTCTGGTTCCCCAATATGCCATTAGTTAAGCCTGTAGACACAGCATTTCTACTGTCTATCAAGGCCCTTAAAACGCAACATCAAGTAAGATCAGTCTGGATCCCCGCTATCTATGTTAAAATGAGTAAATAAGATGAAAACTAACCTGATATTTTATCGGAGGTTGGGATTAACCCGGGAAACGTAACTCTAAGGGTATAGATACATCAGGGTCGAATGAAAATCCATCTCACAATTTAAAAAGAAAGCGGTTTCAAATAAGGTTTCCACCCACCTTACTAAAAAAACGCAGTTTGAAACACGCAAGAAAGTATTGAGACCCATCTTTTATACTTGCTTTGTAGCAGGACCCAACTCTTTTACTTGTTCCACCAAGTCAATCAGAAAACGCAATAGGCATGGGTTGTTTTCAGAATTACTCTAACCCTTGCCTCTCTTTGCCGAAAGGTAATTTGCTCAAGGTCAAAAAAGCGTAAAATTGAAGCTGAAGAAACTTAACAGCGAAGAAATGAAAAACAACGCTGTAAGCATGGGTTAATTTTGACTTCTAAATCTCAACTTGGAGAATTATCTGCAAATGCATTCACTGTAACAACTGGAAAAAACTCGAAACACAAACTTAACTTGATGAAAACATGTAAATGACGGGACTCATAAACCCTTGGGAAGCGTGACTTCCCAGAAGCCTCAACTACTACTACTACTACTATATAAAGACAAATCTCAACTAGACGTAATACTATGTAATCAACCCGTAATATTAGCATCCGTGAAAGTAGACAACCGACTGAAATCTGTATACACCACCGATTATCCACCCTACCACACGAAACTAAATCACAACTTGAAACGTTCATTTTCGAAAGCAAACTGGGAGGCCATAAATCAATTTATCATTGAAAACCCGTTTAACCCGTACTCTTATAGCAATGTTCATTTCATGACCGAATTGTGGTACCATTGCTTAGTTGACATAATCTCTAAACACGTTCCTAGGAAATCTAAACATAAAAGCTCATTAGCACAAATTAAAATATCTTGAAAAATAACTTGAAAAGAGATTAACCGAAGATCAGAGATCATATGAAGAAGCTCTCTTTATCAACATAAACTTCTCAAAACTGCTAAATTACCTCAAAAGTCAGAGAATCTTAGTCTATACCTGGTGAAATTTTCTATCGGAAATCTTCTATTGAAGAAACTCAGCTGTTCTATCTCTAAATTTTTGTATTTATTATTTATTGCGATAGCTAATAAATGCATCTTTCCATCAACATGCAAAGTAAGTGAAATTGTCACCATTTTCAAAACAAGACAAACTAGCTTCCAATTACCGCCCAATAAGTCTAACGTCACTTATTCTAAAACACTAAAGTCTAAAGTGTTAGAAAAATTATTGTTCGACAAAATGATAACCTCATGATCTCAATTGAAACAAATTATGTGGCTTGTCTCTACTCAGATCTCAAGAAAGCGATCGACAGGGTTAACCATTGGATTATTATTGAAAAGCTTGGAAGTTTTGGTTTTGCAGGCCCATGCTTGAAATTATAACAAAATTACCTGTATAATAGAAAGCAAACCATTCGAATCGGACGAGCAGTCTCTGATGTTTTGCCCGTATACAGCGGTGTACCTCAGCTGTCGATTCTCGGATCTTCGATGTTCATCCTTTGTATAAGTGACCTAACCGAGTGCTCAATGTCGGCAAGCTTTGGCTATGCTGATGATTACAAATTTGTATCGAATAACCCTGTAGAATTAAATATAGACACAAAAAGATAATGGAATTGGTGCACCAAAAAATCTATGGAACGAACTATTTCAAAAACTATAATAAATAGCATTAAGTCAATAATACAATAATCGAGGAAATAAATGTAATGAAAGACCTTAGACTCATAATCACTAATGATTGGAACTGGACAGAAAATGCAAAAACAAGATCAGCCAAAGCTCTAAAGGCGTTACACTCGCTTGAAAGGTAATTCTCGAAATTAACAACCAAGCATATAAAAAAGCATACAAAAGGTATGTCGCCCCGATTGTAAGCTATGGCTCACCTCCATGGAAACCTTTAAAAATGATTTTAAAATCATCGAAAGTGTGCAAAGGAAAGCAACAGCTTGGATTTCAGGCTAATCATGGTTACAAAGACCGAATGGTTCAACTTAAGATCTTACCGCTGTCACTTGATCATGAACTACACATTCCTACTTCAAAGAATTTTCAATGGCAAAACAGACCTGAGGGAAAATTTTATTTAATTAAAGAAAAAGGACAAACAAGACATTTGAACTTGAAAAAATATGAAAGCACTAAATTTAGACTTCGGAAATCAGAATTGTATTAATTCCAACGCGCGCGACGAATCTTATTAAAGACTATTTGAAATATGACATCGAGTGCGAAAACATGAAAGACATCCTAACGAGTTTATACTGGACATTTTTTAAAGAGCATTTCAGTGAAGTAAGTTCGTGCTTATAGAAGATTGAATGCAATTGCACAAACTGTATTCACTTAAAACTAAATTTTTGATTTGATTCAAAACTTGATGACTGAGAAATGACGTTTTTTGTGATTTTTTTTGTCAAAAAGTTTTCTGAAAGCTCAAATTTAAGTTTTTTGTCTCCAGAGTTTGAAATTTCTACCCCTGTAGTTAGGCGCAGTCAAAAGACTTTCAGAGGTTGTGAATTTTGCGTCCGAACTTGACTGCTCAAATCTTTGTAGTTTTTGAGGTATGCCGTTTCTTATTGATTTTCTAAAAAAATTTCCGAAAACTTGAATTTAGAGTTTCGCAAAAATTAAAAACCCAGCTATGTTGTAGGGTTTTGTGAGAGTACTCTCAACATGCAAATTTTGCGTCTAAATGCGACTGCTCGATTGTTTTTTTTATTTCTGAGACGTGACGTTATTTCATCTCATTTTGGAGTGTTTCCAGAGAACTAAGATTGAATTTAAAAAAACTTCCATAAAAACCGATTTTACAAAATTTGAAATTAGAAAACCTGTAATCACGTGCTGCCAGAGTACATTCAAAGGATGCAGATCTTATTTCCAGTATTTGCGGTTTTCTATAGTGTTCTTAGAAACTTAGAGACGTGGTGCAGTCAGAGTACGTTCAGAGGTTGCGAATATTGCGTCCGAACTTGACTGCTCAAATCATTGTAGTTTTTGAGATATGCCGTTTCTTATGGATTTTTGAAAAAATTTCGGAATACTTAAATTTGAAATTTCGCAAAATTTAAAAAAAACCAACTCTGTAGTAGCGTATTGTGAGAGCACTCTCAAGAGTTGCAAATTTTGCGTCTAAATGCGACTGCTCAATTGTTTTTTTTTATTTCTGAGACGTGTCGTTATTTCATATCATTTTAAATTGTTTCAAAAAAGTCAGATTTAATTTAAAAAACCTTGAAGAAAAACCTAAAAATTTGAAATTACCAAACCTGTAAACAGGTGCTGTCAGAGTACATTCAAAGGATGCAGATCTTATTTCCAGTATATGCGGTTTTCTATAGTGTTCTTAGAAACTTCAGAGGTTGCGGTGGTACGTTCAGAGGTTGCGAATCTTGCGTCCGAACTTGACTGCTCAAATCTTTGTAGTTTTTGAGATATGCCGTTTCTTATGGATTTTCTAAAAAGTTTCCGAATACGTAAATTTGAAGTTTCGCAAAATTTAAAAACCCCAACTCTGTAGAAGGGTGTTGTGAGAGCACTCTCAAGAGTTGCAATTTTTGCGTCTAAATGCGACTGCTCAATTGTTTTTTTTATTTCTGAGACGTGACTTTGTTTAATCTCATTTTGAATTGTTTTAAAGAACTAAGATTGAATTTAAAAAACCTTGAATAAAAACCTATATACTAAATTGGAAATTACCAAACCTGTAAACAGGTGCTGTCAGAGTTCATTCAAAGGATGCAGATATTTTTTCCAGTATATGCGGTTTTCTATAGTGTTCTTAGAAACTTAGAGTCGTGGCGCAGTCAGAGTACGTTCAGAGGTTGCGAATCTTGCGTCCGAACTTGACTGCTCAAATCTTTGTAGTTTTCGAGATATGCCGTTTCTTATGGATTTTCTTAAAAATTTCCGAATACGTAAATTTGAAGTTTCGCAAAATTTAAAAACCCCAACTCTGTAGAAGGGTATTGTGAGAGCACTCTCAAGAGTTGCAATTTTTGCGTCTAAATGCGACTGCTCAATTGTTTTTTTTTATTTCTGAGACGTGACTTTGTTTAATCTCATTTTGAATTGTTTTAAAGAACTAAGATTGAATTTAAAAAAACCTTGAATAAAAACCTATATACTAAATTTGAAATTACCAAACCTGTAAACTGGTGCTGTCAGAGTACATTCAAAGGATGCAGATCTTATTTCCAGTATATGCGGTTTTCTATAGTGTTCTTAGAAACTTAGAGACGTGGCGCAGTCAGAGTACGTTCAGAGGTTGCGAATCTTGCGTCCGAACTTGACTACTCAAATCTTTGTAGTTCTTGAGATATGCCGTTTCTCATGGATTTTCTAAAAAATTCCGAAAACTTAGTTTTGAATTTTGGAAAAACTAAAAAACCCCAACTTTGTAGTTGGGTATTGTGAGAGCACTCTCAAGAGTTGCAAATTTTGTGTCTAAATGCGACTGCTCAATTGTTTTTTTTTTATTTCTGAGACGTGACGTTATTTCATATCATTTTAAATTGTTTCAAAAAAGTAAGATTGAATTTAAAAAACCTTGAAGAAAAACCTAAAAATTTG